GGGTAAAAATTTGCTTTTGCATATAAGAGCCTGGCAATGATTAGCTTTTTCATAAGTGTTCACTTATCCCTTTTTCCACCTATCTGTCTCACAGATTTGATATGGAAGATGCTATGATTTTGAACAAATCATCTGTGGAGCGGGGAATGTGCCATGGTCAAATATACCAGGTTTGAGTTCCCATTCTCATTTTTTGATTAAGAGCCCTGAAAGCTTGGTGCAGTTAGTTCCTATGGGTCTGGAACTTTAATGTAATCCTGGCCTGCACTCGGTTCCATATAAAACCCCAGAGAATAGTCTTTTACTTGCAGCAAAGAATTTAGTATCACCATATAAATCACATAAACTTTATTTCCTGTGAATTTCTAACTCTTGTTGTATGATCGTGCAGACAGAAAATATTGATCTGTCAGATCAGAATAGCCGATATGATAGTGGTCATAAAAGTTTTAGGAGGAGTACTACTGACAAATCAGATCATTCTACTATTGATGCTGATGGATTACCATATGTTGGACAGGTACACAACCGCTTTTTAACCTCTCTATGGACTGTAGTTTGATTATTTAATTTTAGTTTCCTTGTCACTAATATGTTGGGTCTAACGCAGAAAATATATCCAGATGAGCCATATTATAGTATCTATGATGAGGTAACTAACAGAATAAGGACCATTAAGCGAAAAGGTACTGACCCTGTCATAGTTGACTTTGTCTCTGTTGACATGAAAAGCAAGAAACATCCCCAAAAGGTGAGGTTTAACTCCAACTATCGCTTAGACAAATTACAGTTTGTTTAAATTCTAACATTTGAGTTCCTTGGCAGGCGAATATTCGTTTCCGGCATGCCAGAAACCCCATAATTGGAGACAAGTTCAGCAGTAGACATGGGCAAAAGGGTGTTTGTTCGCAATTGTGGCCTGATATTGATATGCCGTTTAATGGAGTTACTGGAATGCGTCCAGATCTCATCATTAACCCGCATGCTTTCCCATCAAGAATGACAATTGCTATGCTTTTGGAATCTATTGCTGCTAAGGTTTGTATCTTAAGAAATTTGTCTGATTTTTAGGTTCCATCAACGCTGATGCTGTGCATCTTATTTTTGCGTCGTTTAGCCAACTACCCATTTTTATTTTGCTGGTAAGTAAAGTATATGTAATGCTTATATTCCTCGGCTTTTACAGGGAGGTAGTTTGCATGGAAAGTTTGTAGATGCAACGCCGTTTCGTAATGCAGTAATAAATGCAAATGGAGAAAAGAAGCGCAAGTCCAGTTTGCTTGTAGATGATCTCGGTTCCATGTTAAAGGAAAAAGGGTTCAACTACTATGGGACCGAGAAATTATATAGTGGGATTTTAGGAGTAGAACTGGAGTGTGAGATATTTATGGGACCTGTTTACTACCAAAGACTGCGTCACATGGTCTCAGACAAATTCCAGGTTTTTAATTCGTCTGCTTTCATCGCTTTTATTACCTGACATATCGCCTCTAGCTTGCACATCTCTCATCTGCGTACTTCGTATGAGTCATAATATTCTGGCTTGCAGGTTAGATCCACTGGACAAGTTGATCAACTAACTCACCAGCCAATCAAGGGAAGGAAACGAGGTGGAGGTATTCGGTTTGGTGAAATGGAACGAGACTCACTGCTTGCTCATGGAGCTTCCTATTTATTACACGACAGGCTTCACACTTCTTCGGATCACCATATTGCAGATGTTTGTTCGCTATGTGGTAGCTTGCTCACTTCGTCTATCGCAAACGTTCAACAGAAGAAGCTAATTCAAGTTACTGGAAAGTTACCTCCTGGTAGAACTCCAAAGAAGGTAACTTGCTATTCTTGTAAGACAAGTAAAGGCATGGAAACAGTTGCGATGCCATATGTGTTCAGGTACTTAGCTGCAGAGTTGGCTTCAATGAATATTAAGATGACTCTTAAATTAAGCGACAGAGAAGGAGATGAAGATTTAACACCAGAGCAATAAAGTTAATTATATCTCACAATGTCCTAGTGTGTAGAATAATATTTTATTTATCAATTTTGGTTTTGCTTCGTTAGCATCTTTCCTAGTTGAAAACGTTATCTATTTTGGAACAAAGTGATTGTCGTAAACATCTGTGTATGATTTGTATGGATAAATCAATTGCATTTGATCCTTCTACACCATTAATTCAATTAGTGACATGTTCAACTAAGGTGCTCAATTGTTGAAATAAACGCTGCAATTGGGTGAACCTAATTTCACGATTCCTTCAATATAATAAGAGATACTTGTGAGAGAACACAGAGTTATTTGATTAATGAAAAATCATACAAAAGTTTTGCAAATTTTACACCTAGACAACCTCTCTTTCTCCTCTCACACTGAAACAAAGACTGAAGCAAAATACAGATAAAACTTTGCTCACTTTCCGGGAACAAAGTTGGTGGCGAAGGCCCATGCGTTGTTGTTGACTGGGTCGGATAAATGGTCAGCAAGGTTCTCCAAAGGTCCCTTACCAGTGACAATGGCTTGAACGAAGAATCCAAACATAGAGAACATAGCCAATCTTCCGTTCTTGAGCTCCTTCACCTTCAACTCAGCGAAGGCCTCTGGGTCGGTAGCCAAACCCAATGGGTCGAAGCTGCCTCCGGGGTAAAGCAAGTCCTCGGCCTCTCCCAATGGACCATCTCCTGCAACTCTGTAGCCTTCAACGGCTCCCATCAAGATGACTTGGGTGGCCCAAATCGCCAAAATGCTCTGGGCGTGGACCAAGCTAGGGTTTCCCAAGTAGTCAAGCCCTCCATCGCTGAAGATCTGTGAACCGGCCTTGAACCAAACGGCCTCTCCGAACTTGACTCCGTTCCTGGCCAAAAGCTCAGGGAAGACGCAGCCAAGGGCTCCGAGCATGGCCCACCTGCTGTGGATAACTTCTAGCTCACGGTTCCTTGCGAATGTCTCGGGGTCAGCGGAGAGTCCGGCGGTGTCCCATCCGTAGTCTCCGGGGAACTCTCCGGTAAGGTAGCTTGGTGGCTCGCCAGAGAATGGACCCAAGTACTTGACTCGTTCAGATCCGTACCATGGGCTTCCTGATGGTCCCTTTGGCTTGGCAACGGTCTTCCTCATCGTCACACGGCCGCTTCCAAGGACTTCTGATGAAGCCGGGGAAAGCTTGACGGCCTTTCCGGCGAAAGCAGGGGAGGAGAGAGCCATTGTTGAGGCGGCCATTGAGGTTGAGAGTTGCACAAAGTAAAAAACGTTTAAGAGTTGTTGTTGTAAGCCAAGAAATGGGTGGTTTGGCACTGATGGGATTTTCAGTATATATAATATGAAAATCTAAAGTAACCTCTTATCCTGTAATATCAATCTCTAGAGTTTTTATTGGCTACTCACAAATTTTTATTTTGGAACTCTTGATTTTTTTGTTTGCTTACGTGGTTTATAGCTAACACTTGGCAGATTCGGAACTGATTTGTGTCTTAAGATATCTTTGGTGCGTTTCAGGGATTCGTGAAACACCCACTCATGACTTGACACGTGTAAGGCTTGATCTCTCTATCCTTTTGAAATCTTGAGTCTATCAAACAAAAAATTAAGGATAATTGCATATTACATTCTATATGTATATGATCTGTTTCTATTTTTTCTATAAAGTTAAAAAATAATAACAGTTTACTAGAGATAGACAATTAAAACAAAAGTAAAGAAAACAATAAAAAAAGTATTGGAATTAAGTTATCAAATTTATTTTATAAAAGTAATGGGGATATAGTTATCTAAAAATGCAGAAATGTAATCAAACTTAAACTCCTACATACATATATTGATCGTCATAATATATCACAAGAAGAGGAAAATAGATGAACTGAAACATTTCATTAGTGGCTTTATATGATAATGTTTAATGTACTAATGTCAGGACAAAAGTGGCATCAACCAGATCATGGTGATGGTCATGGTCACAAGACAACTCCAGAATTACGAGTCATGGTCATATACTCATAGCCACAAGTCAGCTTCTACCTTACACTCTTCAAACGGCTATGACAGACAACGGCCACAATAAACAAGCCAACAAATCCATCTAATACCGTAGAATCGTAGATAGACCCAACAACGGCTACATTTACGGCCACAATAAGGTCAATGGATTAGAAAAGCTTTCAAAGGATTCTAAAATTTTTCTCACTTGAAAATTCATTGATCATAGAAACTCAAACCTTAGAGAGTGCACTCTACAGCGTGTGGGTAAGATTGAGTGATAGTAAGAAAAAAAAAGTGCTTTGAAGAAAAATCTCTGTTGTTGGAATAAAGACTGTTTTAAATGCCGTAGCATAATTCTTCAATGTATTTGAATAATGATGAACAATTAATTATCTCAGTATTGCGTTTCGATAAAAAGTAACAACTCAGAGAGAGTTTAAAGAGACAATACATTATTCATTAGATGATTTTAAAGATGAAATACGCTAGTCATGAGATCTCTTGGGTTATTGGATTAAGTGCCGATGCTTCTGAATCTTGTGAACATGTATATATAATGATGTTGGACTTACTATTGAAAGTATTGGTAGTCATGATCAAAACATAATATATGCGGGTAAATGCTACTTTAATACAATGTATCGATCATCGACATTTGAAAGTGTTAATTTTACTTAAGTTTTAGCCAAAACAACACAAATCATTAAGCTCTTGTCAGGAGCTAAATTCATACAAAATTTAAGTTCTTATTCAAAACAAAGTAGGTTTACAAAAACAAAAAAAAAATACAAAGCAAAGTCACGAGGGTGTTACCGTTAAAGTATACGACGGCTCATAATGTGGTCACAAAATGCTTTGGCTGCAATGTAAAAATCAAAGCAAAAGCTCGTGGCTTAGAGATTGCCACGTAAGACTAAGAAACGATAAACAAAAATCTCAAGAACCCAATGAATAAAGAGATAAAGATTACAAGAGAGATAACAAACCATACTCACAATATCCCTATATAATCCAAACCTACCTAACCATTGTCACTCACTCTCACTCACAAGTTAGTCACCAAAAAAAAAAACCAAAAACATTTCAATGGCCGCCTCAACAATGGCTCTCTCCTCCCCTGCCTTCGCCGGAAAGGCTGTGAACCTTTCCCCGGCTTCATCAGAAGTCCTCGGAAGCGGCCGTGTGACGATGAGGAAGACTGTTGCCAAGCCAAAGGGTCCATCAGGCAGCCCATGGTACGGCTCTGACCGAGTCAAGTACTTGGGTCCATTCTCTGGCGAGCCACCAAGCTACCTCACCGGTGAGTTCCCAGGAGACTACGGATGGGACACCGCCGGACTCTCTGCTGACCCCGAGACATTCGCTAGGAACCGTGAGCTAGAAGTTATCCACAGCAGGTGGGCCATGCTCGGAGCCCTTGGCTGCGTCTTCCCTGAGCTTTTGGCCAGGAACGGAGTCAAGTTCGGAGAGGCCGTTTGGTTCAAGGCCGGTTCACAAATCTTCAGCGATGGAGGGCTTGACTACTTGGGAAACCCTAGCTTGGTCCACGCCCAGAGCATTTTGGCGATTTGGGCCACCCAAGTCATCTTGATGGGAGCTGTTGAAGGCTACAGAGTCGCAGGAGATGGTCCATTGGGAGAGGCCGAGGACTTGCTTTACCCCGGAGGCAGCTTCGACCCATTGGGTTTGGCTACCGACCCAGAGGCCTTCGCTGAGTTAAAGGTAAAGGAGCTCAAGAACGGAAGATTGGCTATGTTCTCTATGTTTGGATTCTTCGTTCAAGCCATCGTCACCGGTAAGGGACCTTTGGAGAACCTTGCTGACCATTTGTCCGATCCAGTCAACAACAACGCATGGGCCTTCGCCACCAACTTTGTTCCCGGAAAGTGAGCAAAGTTTTATCAGTTTGTAATTTGCATTTTATTTTAGTATTTTGAATTCGAGTGAGAGACAGGAGGAGAAAGAGAGGGTTTGTGTTTGTGATGGATGGTTGGAGACTTTCATATGTAAATTTGCAAAGACTTTGTATGGTTTGTCATTAATCAAATAACTCATTTTTTCTCACATACTTGTCGTCTCGTGAAAACTCTAAAATATGCATTGGACATAAAACAATTTTCTTTTTCGCGTATATGGGGATAGACAATAGTTATGTGTTTAGATTGTTGAAACATAGCTGGTATCAACCACTAGCATAGTGTTATTAGTTTGTAGAAAGACCGGTAATTACATATTTTATATATATTTGGTGCTAAAGTAAATTATTTTTGAAAAAATTTGGTCGGCGAAATTATGTGTTTGTTCTTTTCTCTTTTGGAATTAGCGAAGGATGGCCGTTTGCGAGCAGACGAACTTTCAGAACGGAGAAAACAGTCATGGCCGTCTCAAAATCAAAAATTTTGTTTATTGTTTTTCTAGTATCAAGTTTCTTGGTAAACGTACGGTTTTTAATCTCTAGAAGTAGAAGGTGTATGTGATGCCTCTCATCACATGTTGTCTATGTGCATGTGTTTGTTCCTTCTGTGTTTGGTTGATTTTGAAGCTCGTACGACTACGATCGAGTAATTGGACAGACGATTGCGTTCTGCATGTGACTGTGAGTTCCTCTGTACGTGGACCGGGTTCATTTGTCACGCTATAATTGGCGAATACATAATAACTGAAATTATGTTTGGATATTTCGGAGTACTAAAACATGCATGTCCTGGTTTCCTAACCGAAGAAAATAAATTAAGTCTAGATCAAATGATTTCATTGAAATCTTCCTTGATATGGGACATAGATGTTTTGAGTGAGTAATCAGAGTATATATAGAAGAATGCATGATATCGTTGGTGTTTAGTACCGAAAGATTAAAGCGAATAGAACTGAACATGCATAGTGTTATTTATTTTCAACGTATACTACTATAGAACATGCGTTCTAATGCATATATATACATAGCCATAGCCTCATAGGTGAATTCATGTGTGAGGTCAATGAATGATGATAAAACTATAATTGTGCTTTGTAACAAAAAAAAAAATGAGTGTTAAAATTAGAAATTGTTTAGGATGATTGAAATCATTAAGCGTGAATTGATGATAGCTTAAAGCGTTTTCTATCAAAGTGATTGAGAACTTAGGTTGCTGCAAATTAAACCTCAAATAAATTATTGTCTTGTTTTTTTTTCATCTCTACAATGTTGTTCAATTTTACAACAGAATACTACAATCACGGTTAAAATTTAATAAATATGGTAGTTTTTTCAATGTGTTATGTATCGTCTTCCTAAATATTCAAATAGTTTTTGCAATTTTTTAAAAATAACTAAAAGTTTTAGAAATTATTTACATTGTTCATGAGAATCAGGTTAGTGGATAAAGTAACAATGGAAACGATGTTAAGATGAATTGCACTTCTGTAAATTGATAGTGATCGGGACTTCATATTACACTTATTGATAGTCATGATCAAAGCACCATAGTTTCACCCCAAAAAAAATAATCGATCAAAATGTATGATGTTTCGATGATATCAATCTTGGAAATGTTCTTAACTTTTTTAAAGAGAAAAAAATCTCTCAAATAAGTTATCTATTTTCACAAAAATTTAGCCATTTCCAAAGATTTACAACCTGTGGTCTCAAAATGCTTTGGCTGCAATGAAAAAACCAAAGTGAAAGCTCGTGGACAAGAGACTGCCACCTAAGAATAAGAAACGATAAAACAAAAATCTCAAAAACCCAATGAGCGAAGAGATAAAGATTACTTGAGAGATAACAAACGTTACTCACAATATCACTATTTAATCCAAACCTATCTTAACGTTATCACTCACTCTCACTCACAAGTTAGTCACCAAAAAAAAAAAAAAAAAAACCAAAAACATTTCAATGGCTGCCTCAACAATGGCTCTCTCCTCCCCTGCCTTCGCCGGAAAGGCTGTGAACCTTTCCCCGGCTTCATCAGAAGTCCTCGGAAGCGGCCGTGTGACGATGAGGAAGACTGTGGCCAAGCCAAAGGGTCCATCAGGCAGCCCATGGTACGGATCTGACCGAGTCAAGTACTTGGGTCCATTCTCTGGCGAGCCACCGAGCTACCTTACTGGAGAGTTCCCCGGAGACTACGGATGGGACACCGCTGGACTCTCTGCTGACCCAGAGACATTCGCAAGGAACCGTGAGCTAGAAGTTATCCACAGCAGGTGGGCCATGCTCGGAGCCCTTGGCTGCGTCTTCCCTGAGCTTTTGGCCAGGAACGGAGTCAAGTTCGGAGAGGCCGTTTGGTTCAAGGCCGGTTCACAGATCTTCAGCGACGGAGGGCTCGATTACTTGGGAAACCCTAGCTTGGTCCACGCTCAGAGCATTTTGGCAATTTGGGCCACCCAAGTCATCTTGATGGGAGCCGTTGAAGGCTACAGAGTCGCAGGAGATGGTCCATTGGGAGAGGCCGAGGACTTGCTTTACCCCGGAGGCAGCTTCGACCCATTGGGTTTGGCTACCGACCCAGAGGCCTTCGCTGAGTTGAAGGTGAAGGAGCTCAAGAACGGAAGATTGGCTATGTTCTCTATGTTCGGATTCTTCGTTCAAGCCATCGTCACCGGTAAGGGACCATTGGAGAACCTTGCTGACCATTTGTCCGACCCAGTCAACAACAACGCATGGGCCTTCGCCACCAACTTTGTTCCCGGAAAGTGAGCAAAGTTTTATCAGTTTGTAATTTGCATTTTTTCAGTCTTTTGAATTCGAGTGAGAGTGAGGGCAGAAGGAGAAAGAGCAGGGTTTGTGTTTGTGATGGATGGTTTGAGACTTTCAGATGTAAATTTGCAAAGACTTCGTATGATTGATCATTAACTCAAATAACTCATTTTTCTCTCATATTCTTCTCGTAACATTTCAAAATCTGAACTGGACTTATATTCTTCGATTCACTCTATTGAAGAGGCTATTTCTACAATTGCACAATTGATTACAAATACATGACACGAGTTTAAGCCAATGGGCAAATGATCTGATATCCTGATACAAAGCAAGGAAGGACATACTGATAAATTAAAAACTATGCTGCATCTCGAAAATGGACCTTAGAGGATTATTGATAGAAATGCTTATGGTAAACAAAATCCGTTGAAATTTAGTCGACATCGTAAAAGTTCCACACAAGCGATCAAACATATTAATTAAAAACTAACTCAGACGGGCAAAGAAGATACATCCTTTACCTCAAAGAAGTCCTGCAGAGCGGTCATTTTAATGGCACTTGACTTCAAGCTCTTGATTCCCTCGGCAGTCGCTAATGCTCCAGCCACCGTGGTTATAACAGGGACCTTGTAGGCTAGAGCCATTTGTCTGAGCTCTCTCCCATCTTTCTGGTCAAGAGCATCTCCCGAGCTTGTGATCAACATCAACTGGATCTGACCATTAGCCACCATATCAGCAGCATGTGGTCTTCCTTCATGCAACTTCAGCACTTTCTCCACGGCAATGCCTTTCAGGTCCAGAAAATGAGCTGTTCCCGAGGTGGCAACGATCTTGAACCCGAGCTCGAGGAAGGACACCGCGATTTTCTCTAGGTGCGATTTGGTCATATCGTTTAAGCTGAGGAAGACTGTCCCAGTTAAAGGTAGCTTTTGACCTGCAGCGATCTGAGCCATTGCAAACGCACTTGAAAATTCAGAACTGATGCTCATCACTTCTCCTGTGCTTCTCATCTCTGGCCCGAGTATCACATCACATCCTTGGAACTTCTCAAATGGGAAAACAGCTTCTTTGACAGAGATGTGTTTAGGGATGACTTCTTTTTCAAAGTTAATGTCTTTGAGAGATTTGCCTGACATGACCAGTGCAGCATACTTGGCAAGCGGATGTCCAATGGCTTTCGAGACAAAAGGGACAGTACGGGAAGCTCGGGGATTGGCTTCAAGCAAGAAAACATCCCCAGATGTCGTGATCGCATACTGACAATTCATCAGCCCACATACATTTAGCTTCTTCGCCAGCTTAGTGGTCCATGAACGGATAGTTTGTAAACAAGAAGATGGGATAGTTTGTGTTGGAAGCATACAAGCCGAGTCACCAGAATGCACACCAGCTTGTTCGATATGCTCCATTATTCCACCAATCACCACATTTCCATAGGAATCAGTAAGGGTATCAACGTCGATCTCAATGGCATCAGAGAGATATTTATCTACCAAAACAGGTCTCTCTGGGTCAACTTCAACCGCATTTTCCAAATACGTTATTAATCTACTGTCATCATAAACGATCTCCATTGCCCGTCCACCTAGAACATAAGAAGGTCTTACCACAACTGGGTAGCCAACCTCCTTCGCAATCGCTAAGGCATCAGCTTCGCTCTTTGCAATGCCTCCCTTGGGTTGCTCAATTTTCAGCTCATCAAGAATTGCATTAAACCTCTCTCTGTCTTCAGCAGCATCAATGGAGTCAGGTGATGTACCCCAGATGCGAACAGGTCCCTCTCCGCTCAAACTCATGGGCATGTGCTTATCCAAATAACGTTTGATTGGGAGAGCAAGTTTCAGAGGAGTTTGACCACCAAATTGCACTATTATTCCATCAGGTTTTTCAAGATCAATAACATTGAGAACATCCTCGATTGTAAGAGGTTCAAAGTAGAGCCTATCGCTTGTATCATAATCTGTGGATACTGTTTCAGGATTTGAGTTCAACATTATGGTCTCATATCCAGCATCCTGCAAATATATTTAAATAGTCGATAAGTAAATTTTGCGAAACAAAGTTGAAAGATGTGTGGCAACAACAGTAAGGCGAGAGACGCTTAGATTGTCTAGGACTAACCTGTAAGGCGAAAGATGTGTGGCAACAACAGTAATCAAATTCAATCCCTTGACCAATACGATTTGGCCCTCCACCCAAAATCAAAACCTTCTTCTTGCTGTTTGGAGCTGATTCACATTCAAAATCATACGAAGAGTACATGTATGGTGTATGCGCTTCGAACTCTGCTGCACATGTATCAACTCTCTTGTAAGATGGAACAACTCCTAAAGAAATCCGCTTTGTACGGACTTCTTCTTCTGTTGTCTTTGTAGCATAAGCGAT